TTTTTTTAAAGAGTTATTTATTTATTTGAGAGACAGAGAGTAGAGGGGTGGGCAGAGGGAGAGAAACTCAAACAGATTCAGTGCTGAGCATGGAGCCAGATGTGGAGCTCAATGCCATGACCTCAAGATCATGACCTGAGCTAAAATCAAGAGTCAGACACTTAACTGACCAAGCCACCCAGGCACCCTTCTATTTTTTTTTTTTTAATTTTACTGCGCCAGCATAAAATCTGAATGCCTGGGAAGCACTCTACCATAAAAGTATGGAAGTAGCAATTCAAGTGTAGAGATTAATCATAATTTCTGAGAGTTATACAGACCACAGAGTAAGGCTACCTTGAAGCAGCAAAGAAGCTGACAGTCTTCTGAGACAAGTGACAAAAACAAAATATACAGCCTGAAAGCTCAATGTGAACCTAAATACTTAGAAGTTCCTCTATCAGTTAGATTTGTAATAAAAATCAATATGAATGGAATAAATCCAGTGGGATGGCAGATGCATGCAGCACACTACTGTGAGCAAAATGGCAAAATTCAGAGAGCATTAAAGTTGGACGTCATGAGCTACGGTATCTAATGATGTCCAAAGAAAATATGAAGCTTCTGCAGCCCCCAGAAGGACCAAGACACAGGAATTAATTTGACTGGATCTCAGACTTATCTTAAATCAACAACCTTCTACTCCTCTTGCCATCTTGATTAAATAGCTCAATGCAAAATATCTGCACGTTAAATAAGAGAATTCCAGCTGGTAGACATGACTCAGACGTTTGTAAGAATATAGTTAATACATGCAAACCCATTAGGTTTTCAGGTTAACAGGAAGAAAAATGCAGTGCAATTTATTCTTCTCTTGCTAAGGCACTGTCATGTAAGCATAAACCCAGAATATTAATAATAGGATTCAGGTTTACAAGATGAAAGCACAGTGAGAATGTCAGATGCCGTGAAAGCTTGTGCGTTTCTCAAAACTAAAAATCGCAGGAAGAAAAAACAGAAATGGCACGTCTAATCCATCTTGCTTAGCAAAAGAGCAGCAGTTTAAACTGTTTAAAGTCATAAACTGTTAATTTTTTTAAATGATGTGGGTGCTACTAGCAGTATCAAAATTATATTCAGGATTGCTTTTACTGTATTTACAGTTTTAAAAAGTTGAGGGAGGCTGATGAATTACTACCAATAGCCATTCCTGTGCCACATATAACAGACATGGTAATTATTTCTCTGCAGAGTTTAGTAAGCCATTCATTTAAGTTTAGGTGAACCCAACAAGTGAAATACGTAGAGGCACCTGGGTGGCACAGTTAAAGCTTCTATCTTTTGGTTTTGGCTCAGGTCCTGATCTTAGGAACGTGGAATGGAGCCCCACGATGGGCTCCGCACTCTCCAGGGAGTCTGCTTAAGACTTTCTCTCCTTCTGCCCATCTCCCACCAAAGGAATAAATAAATCTTTAAAAACAAAAAGAAAACATGTATACATATGAGATTGGAAATAATAGAGTTAAAATGTAAATAAAATATGGAAAGAGTCTTAAAAAAATTTTTAATCACATTCCCAAGGAGGTACCTACTTGATTCCCCTCACTCTCCACTATTCTGTTGGCAATGTCCCTGTGTTCAGTGTGACCCTCGAGGGCAGTTCAGACCAGGGGACCAGTGGCAAGTTACCTACTTAGCTCCATGTCAGCCATCTCATTCCCTCCTGGACTATTCTACGGAGAGTCTGTCTCTTCTCTCTCAGCACACCACGTGAACCATCTCCTCCCTAAAACCCAGCCCAGGGGCACCCAAGTGGCTCTGTCAGTTAAGTGTCTGCTTTTGGCTCAGGCCTTGACCTCAGGATCCTGCAATCAACCCCCATGTGGGAATTCCTGCTCAGCCAAGAGTCTGCTTCTCCTGTCTCTTCTCCTCCCCACCACTCATGCTCTCCCTCTAGCCCTCTCTCTCAAATTAATAAATAAAAGCTCTAAAATAAAGTAAAATAAAACCCAGTTCAGTATTCACAGCATCCATTAAAACAAAACAAAATAAACAGAAAACACGGGCCTATAGATCTCTCCCTGTACTTCTGCAAAGCCCCACATTTATGCACTCAGTACGGCACTAAACAAACCTGGGATGATGATACAAGCATTTTCTCTAGGACTGAATCAGGGATGATCTGGGATAACGAAGACCACAAATATTATTCATCACTTATTTTGGAAAAATTACAGCCAGTAATTCCATTATCCTAAATATAAATATTTCTGCAGAAACAAAGCCTATCAGAATGTAATCTTCACTCAAAACAAACCATTACCTGTGTTTAATGGACCAGAGCAGTCAAAACGCCACCAAATAACAGGACCAGCCTGAGCATGTGGTCTGGAAACTCTATTCAACCACAGAGCAAAGAGCACACACCACTGACTCACGTAATCTAATTAAGCTTTCCCAAGGCTGTAAATTCTGTGTGTTGCAAGCAAAGCCACTAAATTCTCATCCGGAAGTTGTTGCCTACCAGATTGCTCCCATCTCTCCGTAAATTTTTTTATATTATAGTAGGTCTTTGAAGACCGGTTTAGAGGAGATGATGAAAGAGTCTTTCAAATCCAAAGCAGCCCTGCCCACCCAGTGTCCTCCTCCCCCCACCCTGCCCTCCACTACCCTGCAAGTTGAACAGTTTGGGACTGTTTTGTGTCCTCTCTCCTTTCTGACACATCCTGGTGTGCACTTTTCCTTCTCGTGTTGGTGGGGATGGCACAGTCGCCAGAGGTGACACAGAGATGGCATAGAGCTGTTTTAAGTCAGTGCAAGTGAGACGATGCCTATAGGCACTGAGAAAAAACGCCCCCAGGGTGGTAACATGTGAAGGCCCAACCTTCCCCGACAAGACCTCAATCCCAATCACAAGGCCACAATCACATACTCGGGTGCTCCTCAACTTAATGCACTGTTTCCCCTCCTTCGCCCTCCTATAAAAAACATTTAATATTTCACTTTTAAGACTCTAGTCTTGAGGCAGCCTGAGTGGCTCAGTCAGTTAAGCATCTACTTTCAGCTCAGGTCATGATCTCATGGTCCTGGGCTCCCTGCTCAGCAGGGAGTCTGCTTCTCTCTCTCTCCCTCTGCCCTGGCCCCCCATTTGTGTTTGCACGTACTCTCTCTCAAATAAATAAACAGAATCTTTTTTTTTTTTTATGATAGTCACACACAGAGAGAGAGAGGGGCAGAGACACAGGCAGAGGGAGAAGCAGGCCCCATGCACCGGGAGCCCGATGTGGGATTCAATCCCAGGTCTCCAGGATCGCGCCCTGGGCCAAAGGCAGGCGCTAAACCACTGCGCCACCCAGGGATCCCAATAAACAGAATCTTAAAAACAAAGACAAAAACAGACTCGAATCTTTTTAATAAAAGGGATATCCTGAGATTTCAAAGGGACTTTCTTAAAGTGTAATTAAAGTAACATAGAGAAATACTTCCTCTATCTTCGTTCTGTGAAGTATATGTATCACTCCTGTGAATTACACAGTGATTTCCAGTTACTGAAATGGAACTGGGCATGGTACCCATTGAGCCATGCTCAATCCCACGCTTCATTAAGGATATGGGTACTTGGGAACTGGGAAGGAAGACAGGCACTCCAGCATCCCCCCAAAATACACTGTCAAGTGTCACCAAAGTGCTGTTTCCTGGAGAGAACTGCAGGTCCTTACAGAAAGAAGTATCAACATAGCCTGGGCCAACAGCAACATTGTCTGAAGTTCACCAACATGGATAGTCTCTGAGGTACCCAGCTATGGACTAAATAATGGGTGTAAAGAGAAGAACTGGAGGGAGACTCATCTTAAGGAGCTGTTTTAGTCAACGTCAACCGCTATAATAAACTACCACAGATGGAGTGGCTTATACAGACATATTTCTCACAGTTCTGGAGGTTGGGCGACCCAAGATCTAATGCTGGCACAACTGATGTCTGGTGAGGACCCACTTCCTGGATGGTAGGGAGTCACCTTCTTGGTGAGTCCTCACATGCAACGAGCAGGGAGGAACAAGCTCTATCTGGACTCTTATAAGGGCACTAATTCCATTCACAAGGATTCCACCCCTGTGACCTCATCTAACCCTAATTACATCCCAAAGGCCTCACCCTCTTAATACCATCATATTCAACATATGCATGGAGAGAGGGGTACTAACACTCTGGTCCATAACAGGAACCCAGAGGATCAGTGAGAAAGATACGGGGAACACTAAAAGTTATAATCCATGAGTGCCAAGGCAACAATCTGTCAAGTAGACTGGGCAAAAAGAAGAGAGAGAAATTAATTCTGCTTAGGGAAAGGACTCAGGAAAAGTCCCACAGAAGAAATGATACTTCAGGTAGGTATTGAAGAAAGAAAAGGAATTGACTAAGAAGGTAAGCAAGCAGTGAATTCTTAGACAAAAGAATGACTCTCTTAAAATTTCTTTTTCTTTCTCTCAAAATCAATCTCTCTCTCTCTCTCTCCTCCTCTCTCCCTCTCTTTCTCTCTCTCTCTCTCCTCCTCTCTCCCTCTCTCCCTCTCCCTCTTCCTGTCCCTCTCCCTCTAATTGCCTGGGGTGATTCAAACCAACTTACCAATTTTAATCAGAGCTAAACTAGACTTTTCACTAATGTTGACATTTGTCTAAAAGTTACTGGTTTGCAGTTTATCATCTATTCACAAAATCTACAAAAATGACCTACTGAATTTGCAAAGGCAAATTTTTAGAACAGTAACAATACTAAAATGAAACTTAATAGTGTAGATTACCTTTATGACCAATCACCCTTGTGCAATCTCCAAACTCAACAAAGTCAATGGGAAGTGTCATTTGCTGCCCAAGCATACATTTCCTTAAGCATTTGTTATTTTAATATAAACTGGTAAAATTTAAATGCTGTGCTTCTACTTCTAAACTAAACCGTTCTCAGTAGATTGCTGAATAGTGTACATGAACAATAAGATTTTCACAAGATGATTTTTTATTCTTACCTCCATGGGAAAAGCTTTGAAATTAACTGTGTGCTCAGAACCACGCTGGTTTTCTCTCCCCCAATGAAATCTAACTTCATACAGTTCAAATTCATGCCCTTGAGGCAATGGACCTCCTGATAGAACTGAAAAAAGAAAGTAAGTTCTGTTTAATTAAGAGAAAACATATTCAGCAGTACAGCATTCTCAACACGGAGGACATTTTCAGCCAGAAAGATCTCATGAGCTCTACAGATTACATTTATGTGCCAAAATAAGAAACATATTCTAACTGTGGGATGCGTTTACACTGTCATATTGATACAGTAGAAGTTTAAAAGCTCTGAAATACTTGCTAATATTGCATACCATCAACCTCCTGTGTGTTACAGGTAAAGGAGTGGTCAGAAAACACACAGCACTTAATTCTCCCTGAGGCTTACACTTAGCACTGCTCAGGAGACAAGAACAGGGTCTGTGCCTCAGACTGACTGGTAATTTGCTATCGACCTATCATCGACCTATCAATAAATTAAATTTTGTCTATAGATTATCCCCCATGTGTACCATACTCAGTTTAGAGAATAAGTGTAAGCTAACAAAGTCACCCATGACAAGAATGCTTACACCAATATGATTTTTAGACAAAGAAATCACACTTAAAAAGCGATTTCCCACTTAGTACCCCAGAAATGCAAATGGAATAAAATTACAGTAAAATATTAACAATACTTAAAATGTTAACCTTTGGGGGAAAAAATGTTAACATTTTGTCCGACAGGGCCCTGTCTCTATTTCTTAATTCCGGATATGACCCAGAACTTTGTCCCAAACAAGAATAACTCTAAAGGATGATGAAAAATACATTTGTGTAAGAACCTGTCTTGAAGCAATAAAACACTTTCCTAAGTTAAACACTTGCCGATGTCAAGGAGAAAAACCTCCTTTATGACGGATGATCCACTTTGACACAAATAAACGTTGTTTGTGTTCTTCCTACAAAAACTTCATTCCAAATGGCACCAGCTAAGAATTGTAAGTTCTTTTTAGCCAAGGAGCTGACAAAATTTATCCCCTCCCCCAAGAAGCAGTCTCTGAAAGAGATTAGCATTCACACTTGGGCCACCAGTGTGGAGGAGGCAGTGGTACCCCAAGCCGAGCACTACCCAGAGGGACAGTCTGCCTGTCCATCCCTATTCTAAACCTGAGAGGATTGGAAATTGGTGCAGCAATATTTATTTGTTTGCCTGGTTCTTCACCTCATTCCTTGTTGCAAAAAGAATTTAAGGTTTCTTCTGTCAAGTACCTGTCATACAGCCAGAAGACATAAATTAGAAGAGCAGAGGGAAAAGGCAGACAAGAGACAGAAACAGATGGAAAAGTCAAGTCCTTACAAAAAGTACCCTCCAAAAGTTTGGTTTGAAGCTTTCTATCAGCCCAAAGAAGAAAAATAGTACCAGCAGCAAAACACAATTAAAATTTTCCAAGGGTGTAAACCTCACATCTAAGCAGAAAGGTAGTGAGACATGTGACTTTTAGGGTAATACTATCTCACACGATTTTTATGTTTTCTTAATGCTTGGTCTTATTTTAAGTTATACAACAAATCAGAGGGGTCAGGGGCACCTGGGTAGCACAGTCGGTTAAACACCCAACTCTTGGTTTCAGCTCAAGTAGTTGATCTCAGGGTCTTAACTTCGAGCTCTGCATCAGGCTTGGTCTCAGTGCAGAGTCTGCTTGAGATTGTTCCTCTCCCTGCCCCTTCTGCTTGTATGCTCAGTCACTCTCTAATAAATAAATAAATCTTCAAAAAAAATTGGAGGGGTCAGTCAGTCACCATCCCCACAGAAAGGGGAGGAAATGTGGCTGGGATGGGCTTGGATGGACTTCAGGAGCCTGGAACTCCAATCTTCTGACCCACATCTCACACTTAGGACATGGAAATTCAGATCTCCGTATCCGTGAGCAGATAAAAAACAGTGAGTTCTTTAAGCCTGGATTTCTAAATTACAGTCCCTCCTTTGAGTACTACACTTCATCCTATTTCCCAAAACAATAAAGAAAAAATAAATAAATACATGGATCACACAGGTTTACAGATATCCCAAATTGCAGAGCAAAGGCACTGCATCTTCTCCAATAATCATCCATACGTTGAGTAAAATGCTTTTATTTCAACCAACATGCCACAGTTTGTGAATAACCTCAAAAATCACTCCTTTCCCCTGGCTGCCCAATGCTGGTCTTAAGAAAAACCAGGAAGGAAGTCTGGACTGTTCCCACTCCCAAAGGTGGAATGTACCTCACCTCCCAAACCAATAAAAAAAATAAATAAATAAATGGGAAAAAGCTTCTTATACATCCCATGCCACACCCCAGCCTGCATCATCAAAACTCGAAAACACACCCCTCCCCATGGCAGCCAGGCCTGACCTGGGGCTTGGGGGCTGGTTGTCCAACACTCTACTTCCAAAAGAAGTTGGAAACCGTCTTAGAGGAGGCTGAGCTCCACATTACTGAGGAAAGAGAAAGGAGAGCATTGTGAAATGAAGCACATGTTAAATGGGAAAGAGGATTTTAAAAATCTTTGCCCCAAACCTCTTTGTAGGGTGCACACACACACAAGCACACAGTATTTCTGAGCTGTTAGAGAGCTGTCTAGAAATACCTTCCTATAGAGATGGAGGAAAATGACCTTGACAGTGATTTCAGGAAACCAAAATACAACCCCCATTTGACTGATGCCCATTATTTCTTTCCTAGGAATGAAGCCTTTAGTATAGAACTTAAGGACCGAGCTGATATATTAACTGCCCTAGAAACTCACACTGGACCGATCTGTGTGTTGACAGGAAGCAGTGCCAGGCCCATTGGGTTTCCTGTACCCATCCTTTCAACTAATATTTTTATACCAGGTACCGTATTAAATGCGTAAGATACACTGAATTTGATAAAACCAACAAAATTCACTAGCCTTATAGATCTTACATTCTATTAGAGTGAAATGAAAATTTGCACATTTATGAAGATCAAGGTTTTGCTGAGTGGTATTTGGTCACTACCTGGCAGATTTGTCAGCCATGGTGCCATTATGTTTAATAAAATTATAATGAAATAAGATCCTCACGGGTCTTACCCTCTGTCGGGTTGAAAATAAACACAAAGAAGGCAAGCATTTTGCCCAGGCCTGGTCCCCAGGGAGAGGTGACAAAGATGCAGCCAGCAATCAAGGCTCTAGGTACCTTTCCCTTTGCTGCAGATGAACACTCCAAAGTTAAACCACACCGAAATCGCAAGGCTGTACAAAGCCATAAAAAATAACAAAATACTGAATTCAAAATTTTATGAGGTGCCAGCTAAAAGCATTACCTGTTCATCTCCCAAGAATGATTGCATTTATAGACCTAAAATAAATAGCAGCTCTGTTTTACCCTTTTGGCAACATCCTCTTAAAGTATCATTCTCCCTTTTCACAGCTTATTTTTTTTTATAGGGAAACAACTAATACTAAAAGGGGTACAACTTTTCCTACATTTATGAGTATCAAATTTTGCTGAGTGATATTTTGTCACCATGTGCAGGTTTATTAGTTGTGATGTCATTGTGTTCAATAAAATTACAATGAAACTCCCACTGATGACAACGCCATATTTCCTTAGAATAACACACTTGTGAAAAGAATATAAAATACACTGATGCCACTGCCACTGCCACTGCCTGCACTTTCTTTAATGTTCTTTAATAGGCATGGCTATTATGCTTGTGCATATAAAAAGAGCTCCTTTCAAAAGCCTCTGAAAAATCTGAGAACCCCATAAAGATACAAAATACACGCATTTACCTAAATCTAGCTAAGCTTCCACAAGCCTTTGCCGAAAACAAATTTGCCAGGTACTTCAAAGGCTGCTGATCAAGGCTTATTCCCCTCATTTCATTTGAGTCCAACACGCATTTTAAGATAGACTCCATGCCCAGCCCTGTGCTGTCCACCAAGGATTTTTGTAAAAAGAAGGACACAGTCTCAGTGTTGGCAGGGCATTCTCAGTGCTTAAGAAACTTAATACTGTAGTTTAAACAGATTACATTGGGAGCAGTAAGGGAAAGTGCCAAGGAACCAGGAGGGCACCCAGCAAGGGCCATGCCAAAACCAAGGGGGCATTGGAAAGTCAGAGAGGACTTTCCGGGAGGAGATAACTAAGCAGAGCTTGGAAAAGTAAGCTAAGAGAAGTGATTAAGTACAATCATCACAGAAAGAAGGGGCTGAGAAAGGCCTGAGTGTGCTTCAGGAAAATAAAGGTAGGCTTTGAGATGTGAGCACCAAGATAAAGGACTTGTAGGCTATGCCTAAAAGCTGGAGTTTATTACACAGGGAATCACCAATAACTTTTAATCAGACAACTGATATTTTTTGCATTTTAAAATATTACTCCCATATCTTCATGGACGGTGAACCATCAAAGGGCAAGCCTAACTGGTTGGCTCTCATAACCCAGGCATGGATGGTAAGGCCAGGAGACAAGAGTCCTCCAGAGCCATGTCTCCGACATGGAGGGAAACTGTTATTGGTCTGATGTGTCCCCTAAATGATCTAAAGACCCAAACAGGTCATTCTTGATGGATCTAAAGATTTTATAACCTCAGTTTAACTTTTAAGGAATCCAAAATGTATTCATAAAACATTCTAAAAGTAGTATAAATTAGTCCTTCTAAAAAAGCATTTGAGATCTTAAAAGCAGAAATCAATTATTTTACTGTCTTTAGTTTTTAAAATACAGTTTCATTTCATATTGAAGAACAAATATCATCAACTCCTCCCCAAGGGTATGGGGAGGAGGCCAGTTAGCCTGAGCAAAATACACAAAGTGAAGCAGATTAAGGCACTTGTCCAAGGAATGCAAGACCCCCAAAGTTAGCTAATAATAAGGACAATCATAAAGAAATTCAACCCTGATATCTCATATAAATAAGCAATACAGAGCTACTTCCTAAGTGAAAATAATTTTAAGATATTTTTGACATCATCTTAAAATCAGCAAGGCTATTAAGAAGCACTATAAAAGTTGTCACATTTTGGGGAAAAAAAGGTATGATTAATAATAAAAGTAATCTAGCCTAAATTTAATATTGAGAATTATAAAAGACCCAG